ATTGTGGATACAATTTCGTGGAGTCAAAGATTCTTCTAGCAGCATTTTTGCATTGCGATCGGGGGATATCGAAGACAGCGTCTTTTTGTTACAATTTAAAAGATGGGTTCATTATCTATGTGCAGAGAGGAATATGACCAGTGAATAGACGGACTTATAACAAGGGAACAAACGGATTTATAACAATGAACAGACAGGCTCATTACCAATCAACAGACGATTTTATTTCATTACCAATGAATGGCGGGTTCATTTCCTCACACCGAACATACGGATTCATTACCAATGTAAAGATGTATTCATTATCACTGTAAAGAGTGACTAATTACCAAAGTACAGACGGATCCATTACTATAAAGCAGGCGTCTTCATTACATATAAATAGACGGGGACAGATGTACTTACCGTCCATCAAACGTTCTCATGTGGGGGTCATTATTGCTATAGCATTGATTATTCAGAACGATGGAGTCTGCATCTTGTACCACAACCTATATGAACAATCATATATATGAAATGGTTAAAAAGCAAATTTATTATTGCAACGCTAAGTAAGGAAAAGACAGCGAGTCTACATAATCTTATTTTTTCCCCCTGGCAAAAGTAACACAATGCGTATTTTATACGTTTCCAAACTAAATACTGATTTTGCGATGTAAAATGCAATGCTCCAATGAGGGAAAACTTGAATGGCCATTCGAATTCTTACTTAAGCGCCATATTCATATAGCGTACGCGCAGGACTATTACACCAATATACTAGCTGAACTTTTATTGGTCATTTAGTATTGAATATTTAACGTTTTGTTTAATAGTTGACCAATTACATGAAAGTAACTAGCTATAGACAGATCATTAAAGATGTTGCAAATATTTAAGACAAAAATCCCACATTCACTTTTTGATTTTTTATCAAACTATATATATATATGCTGAAAGGATAAAGAAACGCAGGGTAACACAACATGCAACATTATTAAACTGCTTGGCCTAAACTTATGAAAACCGGTCAGACGAGTATATTGGTGTCTGTGCACTCAAACATGTGTCTAAAGCTACTCAATATAGTAATGGATCATACCACAGAGTGAAAGTGTTAAAATACAAAATCATGTGTAGAATAATGATGACAGCTCGTCAACAACACATCTTGTCATACCTGTTAATACTCATGAGGTATACGCACATTGCTTCCGCTATTTACTGTCCACCTGCGTAATCGCCACGTTTTTGCAACTGAAACCGCTATAAATAAGGAACGCAATCATAATCGCCAAATTCAGTCTAACTGTAAGGTACCGAATGTGCGAGCTTGGTCCGCAAGGTCGTGTCCTTATGTTGGACGAAATTAACAGGAGGGCAAAAAAGTGGAACAATATCCCTGTTAGAAGGATGTATGCAATGATGATCTCCATGCAAAAGATAATCAGGGTTGTGGCAGATACGCGAGGGGATATACGAGATACTGGTGAGTCAGTCGATTTCACTTTGCGATATTGGGGGGTACCGACAAATGTGCTTCAATACCTCATGGATTGGTGGTCAACATCTAATGAAATGTTTGGCAATTTGTTTATCAAATACTTTTTTTATACTTACCAATATGTCTGGTTTTGAAGCACTATCCCAAGCTGGGTGATACAAGACACTGTCGAAAACCTTCAAACGTATATATGAAGAACGACTTCCTACATTCACCGAGTTGTCTGATGCACCGTATACCTTCAGGGACTTTGTGGTAGCCCAATCGTTAGGAGATATAAGAACACCGCAGTTATTATCACCAAAAGTTACTGGTTCGTTGCTAACACCTCCTGAGGAGCATTGGACAGTGTCTGTCTGATCTGGCGTCTGGATGCGCATATCTGTTCTACAATTATTTTCCGCATAATCATGCCATCTGTAAAAGGTATCGTATTACAAGTATTCAATTGGATAGGTCAAGGTCATTTCATGTTGTTAATCATTTTACGAAAAAAGGTTACTTTATTTACTTTTGTACATGAAAAACTATTAAATTTTTCCGTTTTCACGGACGTGTGCAAGTTAAAAAACAAAACACCCCTGCAGACAAAATTCCTCTCGGCAATTTGTAACTGCCACATAGAAATTATTCAGCCGGTAAGATCAGAGGCGGGTGGGGTTTACACTAACTTAGCCCCTACAAGGTCGATCAGTAGACAGACAAGAGCATACAATGTAGACAATATCGAATGTGAAGATGTTTTTGATGAATTTTTGAAAATTGCAACTTGAATACTGTTTCTCTTTTTTTTTAAGTTGGCTTTTCATATCAGTGAGAGTAAAAGGGATAAGGAATTTGATTTTGAGAGATAAAGCATGTGGCCGGAAAATAAACCTGTTGTCAGGGAAACAGAAAGCTATATCCCTAAACTAGATAACTATATCCCTAAAACCAGATGTTTTCTGTATATAGACAGTTACAGCGTGTGCTGTTTCAATCGGAGTTCCGAGTGAGAAAACGTATGGTGGCTGTGAGATATACATAAATATCACATAAATAAGTGAGAAAAGAATAAGTCAGGGACGGTGCTCTGCTTCTTTATCATATAGGAAATTCGGCCAGCTAGCACCGACACTGACGTAAATGTAGGTGTAATAATAAGTGAAAAGAAAGTAGGACATTTATGAATATTATTTTACGAAATTCGATAAACATATAACGCCTCTCTAGCTACGATTAGCCATTATAACGCATTTAGTTTCATATTGCGTATATCATGTAACATTCATTTCACAACATATTTTAATAATTTTGCAGGAGCTGCAGTATCCCCCCACCAATCTCCCCCTCCCCAAACACACACAAATAAGAGGCACAACATAAAAGAAATTTTAAAATGTGAAATATGTACGTATATGTTTTTGAGAGTCGAACATGCTTACTGATCTCTAGTCAAAGCGAGAAGATAAACACATCCTAATGGGACAGTAAGTGTAACTAAGACGTCGATCGAGGAACCTTCCGCTACTGTGTAGCTATTCTGATCTGTCTGTAAGAAAACAAAGGCAGTTAAGAAGTTCGAGAACTAATATATCAAGGTCGTTAAGATATAATCAAATGAAAAATTACGGAACAAAGAAATACAATTGCTTTCAAAACACAGACATGGGTTCTGTATTCTCTGTTTAACAGGAAACGTTCGTCTATACATCTTTTGTATTTTTTGTACTAATTTAAACCGCCTTTAGACATTAAACGTTCGTCTCTATTTCAAATATACTTTTATACTGAATGGTTAGACAGGAAGCGTCCATCCATACAACTACTTTATAGGGCTGTTAAGTAGTGAACTTTTCTCAATACAATTAACCGTGTTGTATGGCATCTTTGGATACAAACGTTTGAGTATTTTTCGTTCTTGAGAACATATTTGCGTTTTCACTGTAACCACAAAACACCAGAAGGTAAAAGCTCTGCAAAATATTCACACTGAGGATAATCATGTTCATCAGAAAGACCTTAAGTTTATAATACATGGTAATCTTACTATACATACCGTAAAGCCAGCTTTAAAGGACTCACTTGACCTAAAAGGGCCAATAGAACTCTCGTCAAGACCACGCAGCCGAACTTCACATCTTACCTGAAAAAAACCACACAGTAACAAAATGGCGAAGATATGCAAAACTGCGTCTGTCAGTCTCATACACTATACATAATTATAGTAGCACGCCTAACAGATCAATAAAATGAACCATATTTCCAAATATTTCCTTCGGGTTGGAAAGTAGAGATGGGAAAGTATACATATGCATACAGGTTCATATTGTACAACCAGCGAAACGTGTCTGTGAGGCGTTTTTGATGACTAATACATCATGATAACTGACCGGTAAAGCATATGAGCAAAATGTGTACGAGTTGACAACACTTATATCTCTGTTGATTTGGCTATATTATAAGCGTGTGCACACAGAGTTGTAACAAATTTTCATAATGAAGCTTAATCGACAAATCAATTCAGCTACAATTTGTTTAATACCTGTTTACAGATGTACGAATGTCTATGAGCCCCATCATCTCGATTCAACTCTAATTTCCAGAAACAGAGAATCAACTTATTCAAGTGAAAGCCATCTGGAAACGCGGCAGCAAGCCAGTTCTGAATTAACTTGCCAAATTAATACCAACAAGACCGACAAGAGTAACACAAACGCTAAACACTTCCACTGATGTCATTGTGGATGTCATGTAATATTTAGCTATTATGTAAAAGTTATTGAAGGTGAGCTAGCAAGTGTAAATACAAACAAACTATTTTAGCTATTATGATAAAAGAATTAGTTAAATTAAATATACTATTTATCACAATTAATACGGATGCGTAGATAAACATTGCTTCAGAGAAATGACATTTCATCATGGATCCAGAATGTACCATATAAACCATATTTCCGGGAGAAGGTGTTAATCACGATTATCATGTAAACTTTACTTCCGGGAAAAACCATTTAATCATGGTCACCATGTAAACATAATTTCTGAGGTAGGACACTTTATCGCTGTTTCCACGTTAAACTTACTTCCTGGGGAGATTATTTTATCACGGTTACCATGTGAACACTACTTCCGAAAGGAGACATTCTATCAGAGGGTGAAGTCAGCAGGTAATTTAATTCTCTGGACGCTGCAGCTCTATCTGATTTTTAACAGATTTATACAATGGGTAAGCACTGTTAAATGAATCACTCAGGAAATAAAACGGTCAGATAATACCCAAACCATCGCACCAAATACACCTTCTTCTTATTTTGGTTATGATTATGCCAAAACGAGGCGTAGTCGAAGTAAAATTTGCCGGATAAAAAGGTTTACTTACTTTTTCAAAGCCAGTAGAAAGAGTGGTGACGCCCATCTATTGTTATCATTATTCTATCGAAATGGAACACAATATATACCAACATTACTCCCATTTAGAATAATAGCTACACTCGCCACAATATCATCAGTGAACAAATGTCAGGAATTTACTTACCAGGAAATTCAGTTTGTATGTATCTCTCCAGCATTTCTCCAGCAAACGAGTGGTCGACAGGTTCGTGTATGCTACCAGTGCATGGGAACAATTCGTCAAGAGGTTATCATTGATGTACCAGTTGATGTCGTATAGATACTGCTCAGCGGTTTCGTTGTTAGCATTGAAAGTTATATTGTGTTCAAATTTTATTTCAGTGTTTACTGCGTCGACACTAGGAAAGGTTAGACTTGGTCCTATTCTCTCTTCCAGTCCAGGCGTTATCGTAACGGTGTATGGAATGTCTATAAAACCTAAAAAATATAATAATGATCCTTTAACTTTCGTTTCTTTTTCAATTTTCACGCATTAATTAGTCATCTTATCACATGAAAAAGTGTAATATTTGCGGCGTTGATACGGTATCAAATATTGACTTTATATTAGATAGATCTTGGTCTGCTGTTACTCTCGAGATGTTGTCTCAAAAGAAGACAAAGATCAGTTCTATCCAAGATTGGGTCAATACATGTTCAATGCCATCAAACAAATATGAAAATAAAATATGTTAATAAAATGATGATGTGTGCCAATGTGTACGAAAGCATGAATTGGAAAGTAGCAGTACTATGACGTGATATATAAAGCAATTAAATGATGCAGAACGGATTAATCATAATCCATTTCGATAAAGGATATGCTTCCATTGGAATGTTCTTTGTGTCATCAGAAAGTATCCAGCTGCCACATACATCCAGCTGCTACGTATATCGAATGGTGTTCTGCAATGTACAAGTATCACCTAACAATTAAACATGTTTGACAACATGGTTAATTTATTTCACTAGGTCTCACCTCATCAACATTCTGACTGTAACGTAGGATGAGCGTCGAGTAGTTACACGGCAAATGAAAACAAGATTTCGAATACATATTTACAATTTATTTACAACATAAACAAATCACACTCACATCCACACAGTTTCACACATAATGATCCTATAAACTACACAAAAAGTCTCTGCTGCACCCTGAGGTAGTTACAGTTCTCCTGGACTCTATTGTAAGTCTCCTCGGCTCCAATAACAATATGTTCTGCTAAAACTTAGCAATCAGATGACTCTGATCAATGTCCACACAGGACACCAAGTTCCACAAAGGAGAAGTTCCACACAGGACACTAGATTGGTGTATAGTACCAATATGTACATTTAGTTACCACACTCCTGCTAACTGGAAGGTGGAAATACATTTCCAGTGCGGCCTCCGGCAACAGTCATTGTTGTAGTGTCGGCTGATGACCACGGTTGAGTTCCCCTTCTTTCACTACCAAACTAATTACTCTTGGTCTGTTCTCGTGTTCAGATCACCAAAAGGCTGACCTTGACTGACGTTGGTCCTGGCGCTTATCACTGGTGTCTCTAACAGGCCCCGACAGAGCTCAGCTGGTAGGCATCGAACCCTCACATGAAGCTTTAAACATAATAACAAAAACACCTAAGTACAACTCGCAAACATATCACATACGATTCCAAACAATTACTAATAGTAATATACTTAAGTTTATGCCCTATTAATTTTACACCAGATATCAATTAAACCTCTACAAAATATTATGAAAATATAAGCTAGAAAACAATAAGTTACGCTCTGATATCGTGCGGGTTCAGCATACAACAAATAACATCATTTATACAACACTTGAAGTTCTATATGGCCACTCATGTCTTCCATACTTTTCCATACACGCATATGCACTCACCTGATCGCGCTTTACTATATATACATAACATAAATATACGTTATACTACGTGGAATTGCATATAAAACAGATATCAATATAGATAGTTACAGCAACCAATAGCAATAATATTTGCAAAACCTTCCTAACAAATCATTATACATAATGTCACCATGAAACGCATGACTGAACCGCACGAGCGAACATCTGTTTACTTAGGATATTTATCCAGAAATGGGCTAAAACATCAGACAAAGAAACAGAGATATAGTAAAGAAATACTCACCACAGTCTGTTATCTGTGCCTGTACATGTTTCAATACTGCATTTGCAGTAGAATCGGGTAAACAAACTCAGCGAACTTGCTGGAGTTTCAAAGCGTCCCGCTTGGACTTACCCATTTCCGGTTACTCTCCAAAACTACGGGCGCTCAGAAGGAACAACGAACAAACATAGCACAAACATATATAAAAACAAATACACACATTCATACGAACGTGACACTGACAATATATAATATACAATAGTATACAAAATCCTGTATAGACGATCTTTTCTTTAAGCAAGTCGAAGTGGAAAATTACAAATATCTTATAGACAAAGCTATTAAGCATCAAATTAAAACATATAATACTGTATATTCTAATTGAAGGCTGCGATAATTGAGGAAATGAATTAAAGAACGACCGTAATCTAAAAACAAACAATAATATCATCCTTTCCCGAAGAAAACCTCGCAAAGTAAGAACGAATTGTATCTCCCATTCTTTCCTGGAAAACAGAGTCCTATATATTTAACAAAATATATCCCTATAACGACAATAACCTCCAATATTGAACAACATAGTCCCCTAACTCTCTAGCGAAAATAATCTCGAATATTAAACAATATATATCACTCATCCTCAAGCGAAGTTAACTTCCCTTACCAAAAACATATCCTGCACTATCTATCGATAAAAACTTCCAATATTAATCGATATATAACCCTCCTCGCCCACTTTCGAAAATAACTTTCCACTTATAACAAAATGCATCCTTCATCTTATAGCGACAACAAACTCCAATATCAAACAAAATATATCCTTAACTTTCTACCGACAACAATCCCCATATCAAATGATATATATCGCTCACTCTCAAGCGAAAAAAACAATCTTTCGCATTAAACAAAATATTTAACCTATCCTCTGTCTTATATGTAAACACCTATGCCGTAAAGCGGCGTCAATATTGAATAAAAGAATTATATCCCCGTACCCTTTTTCGAAAAGAAGAAAAAATTGTATAAAGAAATACAAACACAGACGAAACGATAAAAACACTCCTTACCTAATACTTTTGACCACTCCATAGCAATACCTCAGTCAGCTCCATTTATCCTTGGAGTTAACGTTTAAAAAAGTTAGTGTTTCATAAACATGCAGTGCTATAGCATTTTTATAGTGATACATAGCATTATATAAACTTGATCAATTGATATGTTTCACGTAAAACGATCACTATACCGTCCGCTATATGAAGACTATCAACACGTGTTAATTATTATTTTTTTTGAAGCAGCTACAACTTTTAAATATTGACCAAGTTCTCTGAACAATTAACTATCCGCAGTATTATATCAGCTTTCAGAACAAACAAATGCACCCTATGTTGTATATGATGTTACGGAAATATTAGGTTATCTCGACGTTACACCGTTTTTTAATAATAATACGAAAGTTTTATGTTTTAACATTGCAAGTATTAAATAAATCTATTTTTGGTAGCCTGTTGAGTACAAGATATATAAGTCAGGGTGTGGCTGAATAACAATAGTTTCACAAATGCAAAGCTTTATAATTGCAAATGCAAAGCTTTATAATTTTTGTTATTGAAAACACTTTTATAGTAGGATTAATTTTGAACATGTAAAACGGATACCGCATTTTAATTCACAGCATGTATTACACAGAACATTTTGCAAATTTAAGATATTCGAAAATGTCGCTACGTATTTGTTTGTGAATTCATTTTACAAATACGTAAGAACATGAAGAATGACGAATATATAAAATGAAGCACCTGGTATAGGGAATGAAGCAAACACAAATTAAGCGTAAAGCTTTCAAAATGACTCATGAAACGTTCAGCACAAAGTATAAACAATAGGTAGTATGCAAATATTTAATTATTTTAAAACATATTTACGTTTTACAGTAACTTAATAACAATCATTTCCACAAACTGGTGTTATCATCTGATAACCTGACCATCAAACGTGACAAGTTTCCATGGCGTAAACAACATGTGGATGGATCTATGCAAATTTCACTCGAACAGGAAACAATGGTGTCACGTCGTAACCATTGGATGTGGGCGGAGTTAACGAAGGCTTAGGAAACATTTAGGTTACTTTAATTAAACCGATAAGGCATTGATATATTTTAAAATGATATGTGTGACCGCTGATCAGATGAAAAACATTGTAAATAAAAGGATTCGTTTTCAATTTTGGTAAGAGTACGAAGTAATAACTCCAGTTGAGCACATATTCAATGTACAGGTGCTCAATCGGAGTGATCACCTCATATCTTGACTACAAAAAAAGGGTTATTTTTTTAAGAAAGCAACTGGAAAGAATTTTAAAAAATGGTGTATGCAAAAAGCCATGAAAATAATCATTTAAGAATGAAGAATGCACAGTAGTAACAAATGTACAATGAAATACGCGATTAAGGATGAAGAATTTAGTGCGACGCCTGTAGCATTTAGAACGAAACGTATGTAAATAATATCGTGAAGAATAAAGAGTAAATAATTGAGGACATTCCATACATTATACATTAGATACACAATCAATAAAAGTAAAACTGGATTTTAACAAAATATTTAATGCAAAAGAAACCGTTAGATTGTAATTGATTTTTTAACACAATATGTAATCCTGTTTATATTTTTCTTATTACCCGATAATTAAGTAAAAAAACAGTTATGCATCCTGATGAAAATAGCAGTGGCTTAATTTAGAAAAGAAATGTCGTTCTCTTATTAAAAACAAAACGATTAATATCAAACAAAATGTATTTATCACATTATTTACGGCGTTATTCAGTGAATATACCAACGCCATATTTTTTTTGCGTATAAAGCCATGTAACATGACCTATCAGCCGTCTGATAGGTTGTAAGTTCAATAGTTTCAATTGTGACGTCACGCTTAGGACAAGTTCATGACGTCACAGACTTACACACTGGAGTTTAAATGCCGGCTTATTACATTTCAAGGTTGCATCAAAATTGTCGATTTACACAAATAAATGCCACAAATCTTGATTATGTGATAAAAAGGATCTTACACTCGTTTCCATTTCATGCGAAATTCATCAAACTTGTCAGGAATGTTTCATTTAAGCTCGTCAAAGAATTCTTAGACTCGTTTCATAAATCTCATAAGGAATGGAAACTCATGTAAGATCCTATATATAATGTATGGAAATTATCACAGATGTTAATATTTTGACAAATAGATTATTATACAATGTACATATTCTTCCTTCAATGTATAGGACATTATGTTTATTTACAGGTGTTAAGATCGATTAACCGCACCTTCATCAATTGGCAACATTTTAAGGGGCTGTGGCGAATCGACGCAAACACACGTAATTCGAAAATACAATATTTAATTGATTTTAATGTTAATTAATACTTTCAAAAACATTCTCTATGTAAAAGTGTTCTTACTGATACAGCCCGGTGTGAATCCTGTTTCCGATGATTTACCATCTGGACACTTTGTTTCACTTCCTAAAAATTAAAAGATAAATTGAATCAAATAGATGTGTTGTAGGATTTGCTTTTGACATAAAAAATCAATAAACGATAACAAAAGTATTTAAGTAATAGAACATTTATTATTAATTTATTACTTTATTGATTCAGAAAAAATTGCCACGGTATTCCGTTTTTTTAAAGATTGCTAAGTTGCTGTAAGTCAGCCATCATCTTAGTCTTAACATGTTCACCCCTTGACATATGAATTGGACTTGCCCAATCTTTAATTTGGTAAGGTTAACATGTGAATTTAGGGTGAATAGGTTGCATTAACTTACCAAAGCAATATCCATAGCCTCCTGGAGTTCTCTTCAGATCGTAGACGTAAAAGAAACCGCAGTTTTTTACTCGGACTGTTGACCATGTAGGGAAACAAGGTGAGAATACGCCAACAGCACACATCGTCACTGATTTAGTCTCTCCGTTAGTTGGCAAAGCTACAAATGAATCAAAACGACTTTTATTAAAACATATTAATCGTCTGATGGTCATATCAAACTTTCAAACATATTGCTCACTTCGTAACAAGCTGTCATTCGATTTTACAAACCAAAAGCATTTAACACACAACAGAAGAAGGATGAAGTTAAATAAAAAAAAAGAGTCTTGGTTCCTGACGTTGTCTTTTCCTGGACGTAGAGTTTTGACATTGTCCATGTGTCTACTCTAACTCTGTTCATTTCCTATTTTTCCCTTTAACTCTTTTTATACAAATATGTACTAATGTTTTGTGTAAGAGCATGTCACACGCCGACACAACAATAGATAAATATACCTCATTTTGTTGTTGGAATATTAGGTCATTAACTCATTCAACCCTGACGTTGGAATAGTTCATGATTCTGACACGGATATTTTTAAGGGGCTGTGGCGAATCCTCAAAAATTGTATATCCTAATTATATTAATTGTATATCTATGTACTGTAAAGCGCTTTAGAGTGGCTTATGTTAGCTAGATAGGGCGCTATATCAAATGTTATATATTATTATTATTATTATTATTATTATGAAATTTCAGTGGGAAATGGTAGAAGGAAATGGCAAAAAGTGTAAATGTGTTTCAGACCAAACACTGACCAAACTTCTTAGTGTATGCTGACATGTTTCGCAAGTTGTTCTAAACTATGTGTTTAATTGTTATGTTTACTTTCATTGCACGCAGATAAAAAAAGATAAAAAACAACAACAACATATGTTTAGCTTTTAGATGAAAGAAGACAAAAATATCCTTGAAGTACTGTATGCACAAAATGTATGGATTACCTCCCCTTATACATAACCGGTATAGCCATATAGCGAATACTAGTACCACAGGAGGGTTTCTGATCACAGGTCTGATTGTTAAAGTTTGAACAACTTTGGAGACTCGAGAAACCAGATTGTTTTATTGAAACTATGTACCGGAAGACTTCTGAGCAACGATTTCTGGATTGCAATTTTTTTATTGTTTGCCTGCAAACAAAATATTCACATTTATACATACCTCGCCCTTTGGTAAGGAACAATTAACCAGAAAAAAATACACGCAACAAAGGCTTTCTATTTTCACTTTATACGTTAATCTATGCACTTATAATTGTGTTTTGTCAAAGTGTGAGAAAGTTAATATTAAAAAGGAAAAATAAGAAACACAAGGAAAAATTCACGATTCAGTTTCTTCTGAAAACTTGTTAAATGGCTCAGTTAAAACATTCACCCAAAAATTGGATAACGAACTATTCCTACCTTTGAATAGGAAGAGTTTATATGTGCCTGTAGGGATAAATATGTTAATTCAGGACAAAAGATAAGAATTAGATATTTTACAGATATCTAATTGAACGTTACGATTTTGATCCGCCTCAACAAACCACCTAACTTTTATAGCGCTTGTTATGGCAGTATTCATTTCGGAGAATTTAAGGCCGAGCCGCCTTTATCAGTTAATGTTGAAGGTCACGGGCGGAATGACAGGATGATCCATTTAAACAGTATTTATGCAACAATGTTTACATTATAGGCGCCAGGTGTTCCTTGTTTAAATAAATGCATTTTCAAAAATATATTACATTCTTTATATCGGGAACTATCTTCTTGGGAATTTACCTTCCCGGTTGAAAAGCAGGACACTTTAAGGTTAACTGAATAATATCAGCTGTTTTAAAATAATCACAGCGATGTACAATGTAGATGGTATTGAATATCCACAATAGATTTGTTGAATTTCTTAATATACTCACATTTTTCCATTTCAAAATGGAATAACACAAACTTATATGTTGATTGTTATCCCTATTAGTTTATCTCGAGGAGATTGTATAGCGATGAATTTGGAATATATGATTAAAACTAGAATTATGTCAGTATGACATTAAAGCCACTCACAGCTTTAAATTTAATTGCTTCAGTAACACGTTGAGCATCAATATCTACTATAATACCTCATACATGTGTTCTGTATTCTGCTAATTGAAAATCAGGTCATGTGATGATGTTGCCTCTGGAATTTCAAAAATGAATCACCTCTTAAATGATGCTTTAAAAAATTCTCCCTCTCCTCTTTTTTCACCCACTCAGTGCGACTCATTGTTGTAATTTTCATTAATTAGCATCCTCCGATGATGTGACATGAACATTTACGTGCATAATGGCAATCGGTGACTGGATAATAAAGAATAGGTTCATTTTGTGCTTGTGAAATGAAGGATAATTAACAGTAGTGGGAAAACATCATCATCATCATCATTATCATCATCATCATCTTCCATTAAGTGACAGATCTCCTTGATGGAGTGCAATTGTCACTGTGAGAGGTTTCTAGAGGTGGCAGTTAAAAAAATATTTTTTATGGTATTTCGTATATATGATAAAACTATTTACAAAAATTATACATGAAGTTAGTATAGAGGAAAAGGGTTGCATGCATGCATGGAGAAAAGAGACATTGTACTCCTTTTATTTTTATTTATTTTTTATTCATTTTAATAATAATTATTAATATATGTAGTGACTTTATTTACTGTCATTGAATATATAAAATCTCACAAATGTTCTTGGAATATATTTGAATTATATTTCTCAATGCGACTTTACCAACGTAAGAGTTATTTCCCTTACACCGGATTGGATAATATTTTGACACAGCGCGAATTCTTGTCAAACAGCAGCGGCAGTTGTGTCATGTTCTTAAATTGTTACATTTTCATAAATAAATACACCAGAAAAAGCATGCTGTGTTACAGAAATGTTTGATTAGCATACACGGTTCACATATCGTCTCGTCTCAGACCAATTACCGTTATCAACCTAACTTCCTAAGCACGATATGTCGTATTACGTTTCCGTTTGAAATATCAAAATAAAGGTTATACTTCATCACTCATACGGTTTATAAGTATATATATTAACGTCTCCCCTCTACAGACAGCGTCAATGATTGACAGTCTTCACATGTGCTTTCTCGAATCATATGTGTTTCACACGCGTAAACCTCCTCAGGCCTCAATCCGAGTTGCTAAAACGCTCAAACCCAGTGCACGAATTTCACCACCACAACACTTGCAGAATGCACCGGAGATAAACATTTTGTTTCAGCAATTATTTAAAGTATGGATTATTATTTGGAGAAGAGTATCAGAAGTCTTTATGTAACCCACAGGTGAGTGTCAGAGATTCTACTTTCAATTTACGATAACGAAACTATATAGCGGAAGCATGCAAGACTAAATTATGCGCACGCACCCCGAACGGAAGCGGGTCTGTCATTTCGTTCTCTGGACAGAATTAATAAGCCGCTCGGCGAGAGCCGAGCGGCTTAAAAAGACAATAACAACGTAATTATTGTGGACATGAGTATGGAAAACAATGAATTCGCACTTAACTATGTATAAACTACCTAGTCTCGTCTTTATAAAATTAATAAGTAAGACAATACCAAAGGGTCAACTCAAACCTATTTCGAACTCTTAAAATTAGGACAAAAACGGGAAAAAAAGAAAATATTTACACGGAGACCCTTGAAGCGTACATGTTGGATAAAGTTAAGTGGAAGTTGTAAGCGTGTGATTTATTGAGTGGCTGTACTTTGTGTGAACGTTGATAAAAAGGAACAGCACAACGACTATCAGATAGTGTCTCCATAAACGCGCAAGAGATTTAAAAGAAGTCACTGAACAAATTATGGTAGTTTTCATTATTCTGATGACTTGATTTTCATAACTATACAGTAAATGTTAGTTTTTTCATCCATAATCGAAATGTCCCGGTCTGTAAACTAGCAGCTATGTTTCAGATGTAAAGTGATAAATGTAAGCGATATCACTCGATCTGTGCCGTTATAAACACGTGTTTATATCCACTTCTTTATGACAAGACTTACAGTGGCATGCTGTTGTCTGGCTTACTGTCTGGCTATTATGTTTCATCAGACTCACTAAACTATTTTTATGTCAAAGAGGGTGAGTGTCGTGAACTTTTGTCGAGTCTGGAGCCAATGTATACAGAGTAATAAGCCTTTATTGATTTGTGATAACAAGGTTTGTCCACAGCATAACTTAGTTTTATTTTTTCACCTACACTTACAATACATGCTCTACTATGCATCTTAGGAAGATACTGTGTCTCATAAAATTAGGTTTGGTAATACAGCTTCAATGGTCCCCCCCCCCCCCCCCCCCCCCCCCCCCCCACTACTTTAGCCCTATACACTGTGTCTTATATCTTCACAACACGAAACACTGAGAGTTGTTGTTTCTGAGTAAAACGTGGAACTGATTGGTTAATATAATTGTGGTATCCATTGGGTGTGTGCTGTCAGAAATATACACAAAAAGAGCAGAAAATTTGCTGTTTGAAGAAACAAATTTTCTGATGATATAAGATGCAAAAACAAACCCAAAGCAGGCTTTTGTTTTTAAAAGCAAGGTTATTCTTTATTTAAGTTACTTTAGCATAACAAAAGTATTTAGGAAATCGGAGCTAGCATTATATAACTTGCTAGTTGGCACCAATCAGGGTTTGGTGTTTCTTTTTCCTTACTTGGGTAATGGGTTTGCGTTATTAAAAAGCATTGGTATTGGTATTGTTTAAATTATGTCTGTTTTTCATCGCTATTCAAATAAAGAATTTATTAGAGGATGAATAAATTTGTACGTTGTATGAATAGAACATGTCAATATCGGTGTTAGATATATAGGCAAACATAATACACTACCTGAGCTGAATGCTGAACAAATGATCAGGGACAAATTTAACTTATATGACTCTAGCATATGTATATATGTGCGATGACTCTATGTATCACACAAGGGTTCAGACTTTGGTGCAACAACCGTGGCTAGTTGAGATTTTTGAACCAAAATTATGTATCCGAAGGTTGGGCATTTCTATCCTACATCATATTTTACATATCATACAGTTACTTTTTACATCGCTTGCCAATTTATTAGATCGAGCAGT